GTCGACAATGACTCGCGGCCGACCTCATCCTGTCTCATTAAAGGAAACCCAGCGTCAAGACATTGTGCAATGCGTCCAGGTCCTTGTGGCTGCTGATTCTCCAAAACGGGAAGTTCAACTGAAATGTAAACAAAGGTCACCATTCAGTACAGTGGAACTTCGATTAGCCGCCTTATTATTCGACTACAATATTCAAAGCGAAATTTAAGGGAACGACAAAGCAACTCGAATGTAGTAATAAATGTAATGCAAAAGAATCCCCACTAAGAACCTGGCTTGCAAATACTGTACTGTACAGTATCTGCGTTCGAATTCCGATTCAACAAAAGGAAACCAGGGGCTTCATACTATTTTTACTTGAGTCACTTTTTTTCTCCGGTTCAAATAATATCGTGGCTAATGCACTCAGAAATTTGCGGGGTTTATTGCATTATTATGTAAAATTATTTTGATTCTCCAAACCGATTGAATTTCTGTTTTGACAGCATACAATTCCCGTGATATCCCATTATCTGGACTAATAATACGCGTCACTGTGAATGAGCTTATTTTATTTTAATATAATCCGCTCAATTCCCTTGGATAGGGCCAGTTCATTCGGAAATCCATGCAAACTTGAAAGCAGCATGAATGATTCAAGAAAGCTTACAAATTGCATTTTAAGTAAAAATCTTCGACATTAAGATAAATTAGTGACTACACATCACGGAAATGATGGGTTCCACCTCGTGATTTGCACCAATAATGTTAACAATGTATCAGATTATTGAGTCACTGTTGAAATTTTTTCTTTGCATTTGTGGTTTTGACCCACTTATTATGCTTTTTACAACCAACACTTCCGTACCACCTCCCAAATTTGTTTGACAGACTTTGACTTGCGTCTTACGCGAATTTATTTTGCTCATTTCGTATACAGTAATTTGATGTGGGTTTTCTCGGAGATTTTCGTGTTTTAAATCGCACGAACCGGGGAAAGGAAGGATTCGAATGTATGCAGATGATGAAAAAGTATTCATGCATTTTACAAACCAGTCTGCTGTTGATATTGAGACTCATGGTGATTCGAGAAGCCGACTTTTAAAAAGAGGTTCTCGTCGATTGAAAAACTATTTCTGCACTAGATTATATTCTGCAATGGTTCCTCAAGTTTCCAAGATATCCAAGTCCGCTGCAAGAATTATTTCTGCTTTCAATTGTCTTACCTTTTTAGCTGCTGCTTCTTCGTCGTTGCCGTCGCCTATCACAACAAAGGTGCACTTGCGGCCAAATCTCGCCATCACTCGCTCAAAGCAACTGTCTTTCCCTGTGAAATAAACACCAGTCAATCCGTTGTCCCATCAATAAATTATTAGAAAGAAGTCAAATGAAAAGTGGGTCACGTACCGACTTTCGTCGCGCTGTAAATATTTTCCAGGGGAAACACGCCGCCGAGTCCGTAGAGCAGCACTTTTGAAACTGCTGGGACCAGCTGAGTTGTCGTGACCAGCACGTTCGCACAGTTGGGCCTTTTGAAAGATCCAGTAAGTTTATTAAATCCGTTTTTTT